GTCTGGGTAAGGAAGTCAGAAGTCATTTGCTACCCCACCATTGTTTTGACTGCTTCAACAACTGATACTAGATGGTATTTCGACAGTGGGTGCTCGAGGCACATGACAGGAAACATCAAGTGTCTGATGGCTGTTCAACCTAGCAGTGGGGCTGTAACATATGGAGATGGACAAAAAGGTAAGATTGTTGGGAAAGGTACCCTAAATGTACCTGGTTTACCTCAGTTGAAAGAAGTCCTGCTTGTCAGTGGGTTGAAAGCAAATTTGATCAGCATCAGTCAGTTGTGTGATCAAAACTGGAATGTATGTTTCGACCGTAACTGCTGTAGAGTCAGTGATAAAGGAAAACGACTGGTCATGGAAGGAACACGGTCCTCAGACAACTGTTATGTGTTGACGAATGAAGTTGCCTGTCATCTATCCAAATCTGATGAATCAAAACTCTGGCATAGACGACTGGGTCACATAAACTTCAGAGATATGGATAAACTGATAAAACTGGAAGCTGTAAAAAGGTGTACATAAGATCAAAATTGATCCAGAAAAAATCTGTGGTGCATGTGCTATTGGAAAACAGATCAGAACTGCTCACAAAGCAGTAAGAGGTATCACCACTGAGAAGTGTCGAGATCTTGTCCATATAGATCTCATGGGACCAACACAGACAGAGAGCATTGGAGGAAAGAAGTATATATTTGTGTGTGTAGATGACTTCTCTCGATACAGCTGGGTGTACTTCCTGAGAGAAAAGACTGAAGCTTTCAAGGTGTTCAAGACTTTGTGCATAAGGATTCAGAAGGAAAAGAATGAGTCCATCATAAAAGTTCAGAGGTTAAGGAGTGATCATGGAAAGGAATTTGAAAACTCACTGTATTTAGACTTCTGCTCCGAGCATGGTATATCACATGAGTTCTCAGCTCCTAGAACAGCTCAACAGAATGGAGTAGTGGAAAGAAAGAATCGAACCTTGCAGGAAATGGCTAGAGTGATGTTACATGCCTCACATCTACCACAACGGTTCTGGGCAGAAGCAGTTCATACAGCATGTCATACCATAAATAGGGTCTATCTGAGACCAGGAACCAACAAAACACCATATGAGATCTGGAATGGAAAGAAACCAAATCTGAAATATTTTCATGTGTTCGGCACAAAGTGTTATGTGTTAGCTGACAGAGAACAAAGAGGGAAGTTCGAACCCAAGAGCGATGAAAGCATTTTTCTTGGATACTCTCCGAACAGTCGAGCCTACAGAGTCTACAACAAGAAGAATCAGTCTGTCATGGAGTCAGTAAATGTGGTTATTGATGATAATCCAGAAGAATCAGTTAACTCAATAGCAATAGAGTCTTCTCCAAAAGATCCAGATGAAAATAATATCAACAGTCAGTCTAAGCCACAAGAAGAGTCAGATGAAGATGAAGAAAGCTCAGAACAGGAGACAGATCCCAAACTTGATGTTGGTAAAGATAAACCTACCAGGACTCAGAAGAATCATCCAACAGATAACATTATTGGAGATCCATCAGATGGGATGAAGACCAGGAGCAGAATAAGAAATAATCTGACAGAGGTGTCTGGATCTGCCTGTTATACCTCAAAAATAGAACCCAAAAATGTCAAAGAAGCCTTACAGGATGATCTGTGGATCAAGGCAATGCAGGAGGAGCTACATCAGTTTGAGCGGAATCATGTTTGGAATCTAGTTCCAAAACCTGACGGTGGCAACGTTATTGGAACGAAGTGGATCTTTAAAAATAAAACTGATGAAGCTGGAAATATCGCCAGAAACAAAGCTCGATTAGTGGCTCAGGGTTATACTCAAATTGAAGGAATTGACTATGACGAGACCTTTGCTCCTATAGCTAGACTCGAGTCAATTAGGATATTGCTGGCTGTCGCATGTATTCTAGGGTTCACTCTATTTCAGATGGATGTCAAGACAGCCTTTCTGAATGGATATCTCCACGAAGACATATATGTGGCTCAACCCAAAGGCTTCGAAGATCCAGAACATCCTTCATATGTTTATAAACTTCGAAAAGCACTCTATGGTCTTAAACAAGCCCCACGGGCATGGTATGAGCGTCTGACACAGTATCTGCTCCAACATGGATACAAGCGGGGAAATGTTGATAAAACTCTGTTTGTAAAAACCACTGGAAGTCATGTAACCATAGCCCAAATATATGTGGATGACATTGTGTTTGGTTCAACCTTGCAAAAATATACAGATGAGCTGGTAAAGGTGATGGAAGAGGAGTTTGAAATGTCCATGGTTGGTCAACTGACTTACTTCCTAGGTCTGCAGGTTAAGCAAAGTTCGGAAGGATACTTTATTTCTCAGGAAAAGTATGCTAAGAATCTTGTCAAAAAATTTGATCTGGAATCATGCAAATCTTCCAGAACACCCATTTCCACCTCTACAAAAGTTTCAAAAGATGAATCTGGTGCATCAGTGGATAACACAGTCTATCGCAGTCTGATAGGCAGTCTGCTGTATCTAACAGCCAGTCGACCAGATATAATGTTTAGTGTTGGAATCTGTGCAAGGTATCAATCTGATCCAAAGGAATCTCACCTGATAGCTGCAAAGCGTATTCTGAAATATGTTAAAGGAATCATACAGTATGGTCTCTGGTACTCTAAAGACAGTGAACTGAATCTGGTAGCATACTGTGATGCTGACTTGGCAGGAAATATTGATGATCGAAAAAGTACTTCTGGGGGATGTTTCTTTGTTGGTAAAAATCTAGTGTCATGGCTCAGCAAGAAACAGAATTCAATATCTCTAAGCACTGCAGAGGCAGAATACATAGCAGCAGGTGGTTGTTGTACTCAGTTGGTGTGGATGAAACAGATGTTTCTGGACTATGGTCTTACACAGGGAACAATGACACTCTTTTGTGACAATGTCAGTGCTATTAACATCTCCAAGAATCCTGTTCAACATTCCAAAACGAAGCATATTGACATCAGGCATCACTGCATCAGAGATCTGGTTGAATCCAAGGAAATTGAGTTGGAATACATTCAGACTGACAAACAACTGGCGGACATTCTGACTAAGCCACTGGATGCAAATCGGTTTGAAATTCTCAGATCCGCTCTGGAAATTTGCAGGATTGACTGACTAAAGCAGTTGGTCCATCAGAGAGGTGTTGGTTTACTACGGGTCAGTGTTATGACGTTGACTTTCCTTAATATCCCCTCTCTGTTTAAGTTAAGAAGTCTATTTATGCTTATTTCTCTCAGAGGATATCTTAACCGATCTTATTGGCTTTTTAAAATTCAAATTTCATTGGGATTTGTTTCCTTCCTAAAAAGAAGCTTTACCGTTGCATCAATCAATCACGTCTGCATGCTATTTGACAAGCCGCTTTGACTAGGGCTTATTATTCATAAGGCTGTGTGTTACCGGGTCAAGGAAGAAGAAATCATTCATACTCTCATCTCCTCTCTCTCTTGCTTATCTGCCCTCAAAGAGTTAATCTTCTCCCGTCAAATAATCTTCCATGGCGGATCCTGTGAGGAATATTATCATCAAACTCGGAAGGAAGGTACATTCTCCGGCTACCGCCCTGAAACAAATTCAGACACTTCTGCAGTTGTCTATGAAGAAGAAGCTTAAGCTTGATCCTCTATTGCGAGATGAGATTCTTGTGACCGTCATGTCAAACTACCCTGAGTTCTATGCTGACTGGCCGACAGACGACGTAACTGAACTCCTTGTGATGGTTGCTGAAGCTGATGAAGAGGTCTCACCAGTATCTATTCCAGAACCGGATGATGGAAATCGGGCCGGGGCATTCCTGCAATACTTTGCTCAGCGTGCCCTAGAATCCGATGAAGCTGCCCGTCGACGAGAAGAGTCCCAAGCTCTGTATCTCGAGGACGCTCAAAGAGAAGCTACACATAGACAAGAAATTCTTCGACAACGGGTAAATGACTCTGAAACTCCTATTGAGATTTCTCCTGATAGACCCGTTGATTCCTCTATTCCATCTTCTGTATCTGTTTTACCTGCAAATGTATCAACTTTGGATTCTGTGAAATCCCTTGTGAATGTTGAACCCCCATCTGTGCCTTTATCTGATAATTCTGGTGAACAACCTGAGGTGTTACATGTGAATGTTGAGAAAACAACGACTTTTGAAGAGCCAAATCCACTAAGTCTAGTTGTCTATACTTCTGAGAAATCTGCTCTACCTTCGTCTGAGACTGACAATGTTCCTAAAGAACCCTGCTCTGCCGTTGATCCACCTACCTTACCCACTGTCGAATCTGAAACTCTACCAAGTCCCAAAAAGTCTGGAAGAACAGGTGGAATCCCTGTTTATGCTGCTAGAACTATGGAAGAAAATCTGGAACATGCGAGATATTTTGCTGGGTTACCAACTTCTTCAATCCCTCAACCTTACCGTGTCATTCATCCTTCAGACTCATCAAGTGAAGATGATAAGATTCTAGCTGAGGTGTATGGACCCCAAGCACCTTCATCCACTGCCCCCACTGTTGAGGATACTGCTCACCCGGATACCACAAATTTCAAGATTCGAGAGATTGTGAATGTTGTGGGCAGTCTGTCTGCTAATGTGTCCGACTCAAGCCACTCAGTGACTCCGATTCCATCTCCAACCAAAGAAACTAGGAGAACCAAAAGGAAGAATGTCCCGACAAAAGTGGTTGTTGAAACCAGTGCTGATACTGCTGATGTTGACCAACCTGCAAAGAAGAGAAAGCTGAGTGAATCTACTAAGCCTGAAAGTGATCCGCCAATTCAACAGGTGTTTAAGACTCTACGATCATCGGTTAAGTCCAAAGGATCTTCTGCTGTACCATCTGCTTCTGTACCAGCCCCTTCTGTCAAAAAGGGGAAACCATCCATGCGTTCCAGAGGACGCAGTGTCACACCTGAGGGCCATCCTATTGACGACACTGATACTTCTACTTATCGACCTCAGTTTATATCCTCTGCTGCATAGAACAAATGGGCCAAAATGGTCAGAAGGGAACTCATTGTTCAACGAACGGTGGATGAGAATCAGCTCAATTCAGTCTGCGATATTCTACCTCTGTTGAGTGAAGTTGGGTTGTTGAAAACAGTCACAGATGTTTGCCCTTACTCCAAGCTGTTAACTTATGAGTTTTATTGCAATCTCAGTGATGAGATTGATGATCTTGCAGGGCCACGACCAATGCAAATCTTTATAAGAGGTAGGTGGTATGTATTTGGACCAGATATGATCAATGATTACTATGGGTTGCCTGCGGTTCAAGAGAAAGATGTAACTGATTGGAATTTGGTGGCCAAAACTCTCACTGGTGGTCAGACCACATCTTGGCCTACAGGAGATAAGGATTACTTGCTCAGCTCTCATCTCACGTCAAAATATGTTATTCTACATCGTCTGGCTCTGCACAACTGGCTGCCATCTGCCCATTTCAACACAGTTGGAAAGCTTCTTGCTGGGTTTTTATTTCGGATTGGCACTAAGATGAAGCTCGATCTGGGAAAGTGGATTTACTATCATATTCTGACTCTAACTCATCCCAGGGAGCAAAAGGTGAGACTGCCCTTCCCAAATCTAATCTTTGGAATACTTATTTCTCAGAGACTTAAACCTATGACCAGTGAAGTCATCAGCCCGACATTGCTTTATACTGTCGAGAAACGGCTACTATCTGGAGACCATATCAAGGATGTAGTCCCTATCACTGCTCCAACAAATTCTGAACCTGAGGCTGTGAATGATGAGTCCCTGCATGACAAAGATGTGAAGCTGGCGGAACAATTGAAGGCGCGTGTTGCAGATCTGGAAACGGTGCATGGTATCATTGCTAAACAACTGACCGGTGCACGTACTGAGCTAGCCACTATTCTGCTCCGCATGAGTCTGACTGATACTGCTGCTGCTGTGGACCCCGAGAAGACAGATAGTGACTCTCCCTCAAACGCTTGATCTTTGGCTACTTTTGGCAAAAAGGGGGAGTAATGAACTCAGGGGTAGTGTATGTGATGGCTGTTTGAGTACCTTCTGGCCCTGGCTGGGCGATGTGATGATTGGAATGCTTGTTTTTGGTTTGATTGCTCGAAGCTCTTTCTGACCGATGTGACCGGTTGTTGTCTCCAATTGATCTAAGACTGCTGTTTTTGTTTCTAGACTATTTAGTTTGTCTTTGGATGTTTTTTAATCAGAATTGATCATGGGTTGTTTTTTGCTTATAACCTATCTTAGTTTGTTGCTTTTATAGTTGAGTTGTTTTGCCAAATAATAGCCAAAGGGGGAGTTTGTTAGTGTTTATGTTCAAAAACCCCACACTATAATTGGCAATATTATTATGGCATTCTAAGATAGGTTTAGAGTTTTGTCCGGCTGGTTTTACAGATAACTGATCAATCAGAAACAACAACAGATGGACTGACACTGAAGACCTGACTTAGGAAAGCAGTTTCCTTAAGAGGCACATGCGGTACTCCAAAGAAGATCAGACCAGTATGGAAAGAAGATCAGTGTATCTTCAAAGAAGGTAATGGGCCTAATCTGCTAAGATTACATTCATCTTTTACAGTCCTACCTTCTACAATCAAAGACATCTATGGAGAGTGTTTATTGAAGGATCTATAAGTACCAGTTCTTGGAAAGAACTAGGGTTACGACGAATATACGAAGAAACACTCCATACAGGCTATCTGAGAATAGATCTTTGATTGGCATGCATCTTCTCAAAACAGAATGTTCAAGGTGATTAAGATGATGAACTTGAGAAGAACTACTGCTACTTAAACGAAAGGACGTAAAGATCACACTGTTGTGGTAACAACTTTATAGAGCGTCATTAAAGTGGACTGCATCAGAGTTGGCTCTCCAAGTGAAGGAATTTCATTGGACTTCTGTATGCATGACTCTCCATCTTCAACAATCCACTAAACCTTTGTAGACTGGGTTTGTACCTTGTGTGGGGCACTTGGGTAAGATTATTGTATATCTACCTTTGTACATTGGATTATGAATTAGTGGATTGGACGCCTATGTGATCGTCCCCCAAACGTAGATACACACTGTATCGAACTGGGTAAAAAACTCTCTGTGTCTTTACTTTTGTGTGTGACTATCGTTCTCCCTCATTACATACTTACTGATTAACCTAATTGGATCAATTAGTAATCTGTTTCAGTCATCTAGTTTTATCGAATTATCTAAGATGAGAAAATGCAAAATTACAGTCTCTTTTTGCTGCTTGCAAGTGTTTAACTTGAATCCTTGTGCACTTTCTGTTATAAAATATTACTATGAAAATAATATTTCTGGAAAAAAAAAAAATTAACAAGCACAAGAATGAAGGGAATTTTCTAGTAAGTGGTTAGTACAAGTTGAGCGAAACACTTTTTCCTTCAAACCGTATTTTCCATCCCCCAAAGGTGCTAGGAGCGTTGCGACATAGGTTTCCCAGGATAAAACGTACTACCGTTCTAAGTTATGAGCACTCAAACTTAGAAGTCAGAGAACAAGAACGTGGGATGAACATAGGAGATTAAGAAAGGAGGAGGAACAAAGTTTCGATAGAGTAAAAGAATTTTTCGTTTTGTGTAAAATATGCTGCTCAACAACAACTTATATAGGAGTTGAAGGATTAAATAGCATTTAACCATGGCATTAAAACTGATAATAAATCAATCTTTTAAACCTCTGTAACAACAGACCATCACTTGAGTATTAAATATGTAATTTAAAGTTGGAATTAATTCAAAATGAATTCCGTAACTAATGAAATAAGACCCAGAACGGTTGCTACCCGAGTGGTACTTACGAGACAAGAGGTATTGAGTGGTTAACGTACCCGAGTTGGCCGAATGGCGAGCCAATGGTTAGCACGGACGAATTGTTAGATAACCATTCTGGTTGGCCGATTCGCTTACCATCCATTGTGGTTGGCGGAATCGTTGGCAGTGGTTGGCCGAGCAGAATCGCAGCCCGCCGAGTGGCTGTTTGTTAGAAAAATGATGCGAAAATTTGGCATAACTTAGCCTGCAGGTGCCAGCATACACAAGTCAAGCCTTTTCAGAATCATTTTGGGATTGGATTTGCACCCCCCTCCCCCTTGCACGCGAGAGAAAGAGCCTCTATACTATACAATTCAATAAGCCTTAGAAAGGCTCTTGTATAAATAATAGTGGTGCATACCCACTTCCCAAACTAATGTGAGACAAAGGCTACTTTAAAGTAGCCTTTCCCCTTCATTTTTCCAACTCAAATGTGTCTACTTTGAGAATAAATTTATCATTCACCCATTCTCCGTTTTGAACGTACAATATAGCAATCTCTTCGTCTCACTACGAAGAACCCGAATCCACATTGACCCGACCCAATCGGAAGTGAACCCCACTAATATTTGTACCATAAAATATCTACTTAAAATGTCATTTTATACTATTTTTCAAACACTTTCCACCATTAAGTGAGATATCCAGTCTACTGCTAGTGAGATATATTTGAGTTTATGCTCTTGGGTCATCGTTCAGGATGCCTTTTTTCTTTGTCGTAGAAGTTTTCATCAAAATCTATATCTTCTTCTCATTTGTAGCCTTTTGTTCCTTCTTATGTGATAGCTAACTTAGCTGATCTGAACTTTTGGCTACTAGTGATACATCTGCTGATTTAGTTTTTGTTTTTGTTTTTTCTAACTTGTTGGTACCACTTATTAGATATGTGTCTTCGAACAGCCACTCTTGATAATTTTTGTGTCCTCATACTTAGCTGTTTTTTGATCAAGGATTTTGGTACCCAAAAAAATTTGGATCCTCTGAGGTTAGTTATGTGGGGTTTATGAGATAGCTCAGGACCACTGTGAGGTATTTGAACCATTCTTCTTTCCCATTCAAGATCTTAATCAAATGAAAATTCGAAAAATCGTTTGGGTGAACCATTTTGAAAATTGTTTTAGGGTCTTTGAAATTTTTGTGCATCTAGAAGTATTTTGATGTCTGAGATACCTCCTATAACTTTGTCTTTGTCTTGGCATGTGATAAGTCATAGCCCTGGTCAAATGGATATAATCTTCCTGCACCCATCTTAGATGGTAGGTCGCCAAAGGCTATCATTTCCTCCTTTTACGCTGCAATTTTTTGGCTACTAGGTATTAACCAATACCTTTACTATATTTTAGCTCCAAAAATAATTACCTTTGTAGGTTTTCAGAACTCCTCTTGATGTCACACGTTTTGAGGATTGTGTTTAACACCTTTTTTTTTTCATAAAGACATTATTTATTCCTCATACTAAACTCATCCATATGTACGTTAGGATGAGAACAATAATTCTAGGCATAATTTTATTATTGATCAATCCATGATGATATAAAATACATGATGACGTGATATATTTATGAGGATACAAAGAGTATCGATAGAAATGATAAATGATAATATTCTTAATAATATAATATAGGGAGAGGAAGAATAATTCTAGTGTGCCTAAAATACAGAGTCTTAATATACCGAACCCTATTGTCAACAATTTTATTAATTTTAAACAAGAATGGTTGTAAACACATCTACCCAGTAGAAGAACTCAACCCATGAATTAAAAGGTATGTCGTTGGCTAGTACTTCTACTAAGCGAAGTTGATAGATATGTTGTTGAATGAGAAAATTACCGATTTGGTCCCTCGACTATGATGATTTCACCAATTTGGTCCTCGACTACCAAAATTACTCAATTTGTTCCTCGACTATGACATTTTTACCTGATTTGGTCCTAAGTGTTATTTGCAAGTAAAACCTAAAGGGCAATTTTGAGATTTTAAAAAAGTATCTTCCTTCCTCTTCCCTTTATCTAAGTCGTTTGTTTTATATAGATAGGTTATTTGTTTTTGATAGCAGTCGCAGCTTCAATATGCAATCAAAGTGTCGTGAATCATCTTCATCCAGCTATAATAATCGAATGATGTTAAAAACTTTGTTGCCTTGTGCCAACATCATTTAAATTCCAGCTATAAGCATCTCCATTTTCGAACATCATTCGATTCTTATAGCTGGATGAAGATGAGTCACTGCACTTTGGTTGCATATTGAAGTTGCGACTGCTATCGAAAACAAATAACATATTTATATAAAACAAACGACTTAGATTTAGGGAATAAGAAGGAAGATACTTTTTTAAAATCCCAAAATTACTTTTTAGGTTTGACATGCAAATAACACTTAGGACCAAATCAGGTAAGAATGTTATAGTCGAGGACCAAATTGAGTAATTTTGATAGTCGATGACCAAATTGGTGAAATCCTCATAGTCGAGAGATCAAATCGGTAATTTTCTCGTTGTTGAATAGACTACTTGGATCTGCCAGAAGTGTTCTTCCACTAAAAGGTTCTGACGCACAATCTATCAAGTACAATTGGAATTAGTTCCACAGTTGTATATTCTTCTGATGTGCTGGATGACTTTTGCTGACGTATAGATCTACTACTATGATACTCCGTATTTTAATTTGCTGATGTGATCTTCCAAACGAGATTGGTTGGATAGAACTTTGAACGAATAAACTAATTTCAAATTTGACCTTTACAAATTATCCTATCAAATATAATAATTTCACTAGAAAATTTAGAGAGTCTAGGGGCTGTTTACTAACTGAAAATTTCTGGAAATTCTCAAAAACTGGAAAACAGAAAACAAAAAACATATTTACTGTTAGGAAAAATCCCACTTCTTGTGACAATGAAAAATCACAGAACCGACAGGAGCACAAACACAAGATGATACACAATATCCAAAAATAAATAAGAAAGCAAGGAAGACAAGATTTACGTGGAAACCCCAAAACTACTGGGAAAAACCACAGGACCACCACCACCAACAATTCCACTATAACAAATCTCGAGTACACAGGTTCAGGCTACCACACGAGCCATACATCCACAAATCATCAAATACACCAATTCTAGGCCAAATACATCCTT